AAAAAAAAAAAAAAAAATTAGTCTCACAGTAGTATATAATATGTATAGAATTTCATCCATCAACATTTCACGAATGAGTTTCATAGGAAAACTCTTAAATCTTTTTTCTTTATTTTACGTAAGTTCCTCCTTATCCTCACCTGGCTTCTTTTCCACCTGGTTTATGTGTCTGCTCTTCATACAGCTGAGATGTTCTTCTGGTATTGGGATGTCTTTGAAGGATCATCGTATTTTATATATATGCTTCATTAATAAACTATAGAGCTACTTTTTTATCCAGCTTATTTTCCCACGAAGATCGAAAAAAAATTTTTAATCAATAAACGTGCTATGAAGTGATTATGAAATTAGCCAGGAGAATGGCTACAGCAAAAGTATTAAACTCTATATGGGGTTAATAACAATAATAATAAATTTGTACCATTCAGCATTTTGAAAAGGAGATTGAATTCTGTGATTTGAATATCCTATTCGGAAGACTTGAAATAGTGCCCTTATAAAGTGATATCTCCCTTTTGAACATACCTTTAAGTGTTGATGTTGATCATTTTGTACATGAGTTTAGAATTATCTATAAACATTTAATTCATTATTCAGAAATTGAAATGAATGTATGATTATCATAAGAACTAGCACTTTTAGTGTAGACTTTTTTTAATGATTTGTTCTCATTATCACCATTTCAAACTAGTCGTTAATGTTTTGAGTCCAGAAATCAAATTTTGTAGTGTGATTTTGTTTTTCTATGACACTTTCTCCTTTCCAAAATTTATTTTTCCAATTTTTAAAATTATATGTTCTATATTTCAACACTCACCATGAAATAGATGAGAAAATCGCATCAATCGGCCTTGATTGCAATCATGACTTAAATTGCAACAGCCTCCACACAGTGTGTACTAGAAGCACCCTTCAACAGTGAGTAGCATCCTTCATGAAAGCACACGGACATTCCCTCTCAGCGTAGGAATATTCAATTTAAATTTTTCAGTAAAATTAAATGTACTCACACGTTTGGCAGAGGATCTGGGTAATCAAAGCTCTGCTTGTTGAGTGCTTCCTCTGGATCTTTGCCAAGCACTCATTTACACCATGGATGAATCCTCGCTCCACCTGAGGAGCTGATGCGTATTATCTCGTCTTAAGCTAAGACTCAAGCACAAAGTGGGAGAGTAGCTTCCAGAAGCCTCACTGGAGGGAGGCAGGTGGGACCCAGGTTTGCCTGGCTTCTGGCTCATCTTAAATCCTATTCTGTCTCACTTGTTAGAAACAAGCGTTCCGGAATCTCTCTGGAGCGTACAGTGAAAGTCTCTAATGTTCTCCAGATGCCTTTCAAGCAGTGCTGTTTGTTTAATTAGGATATTGAGGGAAAGTGTTCCTGTTTCCCCCAAAGTCCTGTCAGAGCAAAAGTCGCCCCAATCAGAGTTGACCAGCAAAGAAGACTTTGTCCTAGGCTGCTGCAACAGAGGAGAGAGATGGACCTCAGCTCCGTTGAGGCGAAGGGCATGGCTCTCTAAGAGCTGGGGTGGGGGCAGATCGTGGCCGTCTGCGTGTGCTAAGTGGCCCCACCCAAAGGAACAGTATTCTCGTATCCTCACTGTAGATACAGTTTTACAACTTGGAGTTGCCCCATAAAGTTTGGCTCCTGCCCTGGCACAGAGCCTGGGAGACGGCGCGCCATATTCCTTGATGCTTTCATTGCAAGGGAATGGCTCCCAGGTCCTTGAGGAAGATAGCCGTGCGTTGTAGAACTGGCAAGAGGCTTTTTAGAAGATTTACGTCTCAAAGGGGCAGAGAAAGGCTTTACCGTGATGAGCTTTCTAAGGTGAATGCTCTAAGGATAGGAGGCCAGGGGCCTAGTGTCAGGAAGAGGCCTGTGTGAAGTTTAGCGAGCTGAGGGGACCATGAGGTTTGCTCATCACTCTGTCTCTTTATAGCAAGTCACCCACCTTTAACTGTAATCACTCCCGATTTTTGAGTCATATTGACACATTGCAATCCACAAGGACTGAGTTATTGTTTCAAAAAGAGCTACAGGAAATAACTGAGGAAGTGAGCTACATATGGATCATTAATTTCACTTATACTGCATTTATTACACATATTTTTTGTGAGGCTAAACAGTGTGTGCTCTGGAAAATAATAACATCTGTGAAATCCTTCAGAGCTCTTTTGTTGGATTTCTCAGGTTGTTCAAAAGCTATTTTTATTTCTTCCTCTTTGTTCTTGAATATGGAGCTCAACTCACTGGTTTGTCAATTCAAATGAAGAGTCATAAACACGTTAGTGCTGGATCAATCGACCCCAATCCTCAGACCTGAGTCTAACAAGTGATTCACAAGAGTCAAACAGCTGTGTGCCTTAAAATATTTAATGATATTCTTAAGTTAGTGAACATCGGAAGAATTATCAAAAGATCATTGAAAAATAGTTAAAAATCTAATATGATCATTTACTCTATTAAAATCATATTAAGATTTATAGAATTACAAATAGACATGCATGGAAGGGAATATAAAAAGACAAATCAAAAGACAAAAGGTAGTCATAATAGAATTATTTCTTTCTTAAATTTCCTTTATTATTGCTATAATTGTTTCCAAATAAATAAATAGAAGCAGGAAAAAATCCAGGCAATTTTTAAAAATAGTCTTTTTCAAAGTGAACCTCAGATGGTTTCTATATTCTTACAGTCCTGGGCAGGAGAGGGCCCTGGAGCAGTGGGGTCAGCCGGAAACGTTGTTGCTAGACGGTGTGATAGCTGACTTTGTCCAGAAGACAGTCAATCTTAAATCTGTACCATGACTCAGTATGGCCTTAAAGACTGTGTTTCCATGTACATAGAATATGAACTAATATGAACTGAGGGTGCATGTGCCATACACTTTATGTGGGCTGTCATGGAAAGCCAATGACAGCCTTTTCCTTGTGACTCCGTTTTCAAGTTCAAAAATGGAGGCTCAGAGAGAAGTAAACAGCTCATGGTCAACAGCTAATAATTGGCAAAGGAAGGTCTCAGGTCTTGTCTGCATGACTCAGAAGCTTGCTTCCTTCTATTACAATACACAGCTCCCCGACTATATCCAGTGACAGGAAAGAGAATAGTTAGCCGTTCAGTCAATGGCATCATCCATAGAAACACTTTCCAAGAGTTCTTATTTGGTTGTCAGTCTTGACATTTAAGTTCAGTAGTTACAGACATAATTTCTGAAAGGTCAAGTTAGTGACTAATAGCTTGTTATTCTTGGTTTGTGACATGAAATCCTATTGACTGAATAGTTTCCGTGTATCCCCGTCTGAGGTGGAGGATCTGGGGGCTCCAAATGAAGGTGCAGTCTCTGTACCCGGGATTCATTTAGGATTAGGAACGTAGGAACACACGCACACACTGCACCACAACACACGCACACACCCACATGCACAAACACACACACCCAACACGAGGCACTAGGTGTCTACAGGATGCTCAAGGGTAAATCTCACTGGGTGACCAGGAGCAGGGAGGCAGCACCGAGTGGAATCCTGCAGAGCTGTCCCCGAGGCCTGCAGAGGAGACAGTGGAGCCCATGGAGAGCTCAGGAGCCCACCCTACACACATTAGTGGCCACTTTTACCTACAAACCTGTGCCCAGAGAGCCTAAGAAGCATGTTTCAAATAAAACCTTTTGGCCAGCTACCAAGTTCATGTGGATTTGGGAAATTAACCTCTGAACATAAGTATGGATGAGGTGTGTCTGGGTTGGCTAGATGGCCCAAGTGGATTGAAATATCTCAAAATCACAATGTGAAAACCCAGCATGTGGGCACCTCCATTCCTTTTGGCTGCCACACGCTGAGCTGAGGTAAACGTCACGCCTCATCAGGCCACTCGGCAACCTCTGCACGAGGCCTAACCTCATTCCCCTTCACTGGGGGCGGCTGTGCAAGCAAATGCACGTCCAGGAACAGTGCCCCAGTGCAGTGCCTGGTGGGGGCTCTTCTGTGTGTGTGGAACGAGTGAATGAACGGGTGAGCTGAAGGCTGATGTGAATCTAGACGGGGGACAGACGGAGAGGGAGAGAAAGGGGGAGAGAGGGAGAGAGCGAGAGTGTATCAGCTGGGCACTGACCCTGGCCTGCTCTCACTGACTCCTCTGAGGCACCCAGATTTCGGCTGTGCTGATCTTTGAGATGAGCCGTAAAGTTGGGCTGCTCCTTCGATGAGTGTGGAGAAGTGGCAGAGACCCCTGGATGCTTTGGCACCACAGGCTCACAGAGGTCAGAGCGGCTTGGATATCCACCAAGTAAATCTGTGGTCAGTAGACACGCTAGAGCTGATTTATATTTTCTGGTTAAATCATTAACCAGAAACCGAACAACAGTTCATTTTTTTGTTGTTTTAACCTTTGCTTGTGAAAATATTTCTAAAATACTTATTCTAGTAGGTCAGGACCTTTGGGTTCACCTCATTAAATCCCAGATGGCTGAGTGCCCTGCAGTGCTTCCGAGACATTCTGAGCATTACGTCCTTTTACTCAGGACGGCAAACGTGAGGAGGAGCCGATGGCTCCGGAGGGGCAGAGGGGGTGCCTGTGTACTGCCTTTGCTGGTTTTGTGCTTCATGGAAGCATGAAAGTCTCATGGCTTTTACCTTTAAAGTTAAACATAGAAAAAGAACTTGCGATTACCAGTATTTTAAGTGAAAGGTGCTTACATAAAATTAGGAGTTGGACATAATTTACTAAAAATATTTATTTAGGGGCCCATTTCCAGACCAGCTCTGCAGGAGAAGGACACTCTGGTCCTGAATTTGCCTCCAGGTGTATGACTGGGAGGTAACCAACGTGGCCCTGTCCCCCAGGCTAAGCAGACGTCTCCTGTGTCCCCCCATCCCCTGGGGGCCCTCATTCTGGGAACCACCTTCCCGCTCTGACCCCTTTCCACTCCGTGCTTGCTTCCCAGTTCTGGCTTACAGATGACTGCTGGCTACAGGCAAGCTTCTACCTGGGCCTTCACGACTTGGACTTTGAGGACCAGAGGCCGTACTGCTTCAGCGTCATGGTCGGCCACAGCAAGAGCCACTTTTTCAACGTGGAACTTGGGAGTGAGCTAGCTGTGTGGGAGAAGTCGTTCCAAAGAGCTACCTTCATGGAAGTTCAGAGAACTGGGGTGAGTGACTACACTTTACTCAGCGAAAACTTACCTGGATACCTGAAGCATAGTAATTAAAGCGTGTATCACAATTTATTTCAGAAAAAAATCAGTCTTTAAAGTTGAACATTGCTTGTCTGAGTCACCATGTCAAGTGGGGTCTTTCTGCTCAGTGCGCTGTAATAACGTGAGTTATTATACTTCTGCAGTGAGGGGGAAGGTGAGGCAGAGTATTGTGCACGTCCGCTTACATCTGTTTTATATTTAATGTGGGGAAAGGGGCTAGGACGCTTTCCAGCTGAGGGACTCAGCCAGCAGACACCCATATTCCTGGTACATGACGGCTTCTCGTAGACTTGTTTACAGGGGACAGAACAAGTGAAAATAATTTGTCATGACATTACCTGGACGTTTGTAATATTTTAAGGCACTTAATGGCCCTTCCTCTCAAACTTAATGATCCAAAAGAGAATATAAAACAGCTCCTGTGCCTGAATTGCTTTTCCCTCCTCACAACAGCACATAAATTACTCACAAATTTGAATATATATCAATTGAATGGGTGAAAAAGAATGTGTTATAATCCTCGTTATCATAAATAGTGGGATCCCGTTCGCCGGGGATGTGCGTGGCTAGAAATAGGAGTGACGGAAGATAAATGGAGCCACGCATGGAGGAGGAGGAGATTTAACTCCGCACGGAGTTCTGGGCTCCTTCCTGGCTTAGCGTCAGCAGTTCTAAGGGTGTGAACTGCGTGACTAAAGATAGCTACTTCATTTAAGAAGTGTGCTTTGAATGTGGGAAGATGTCGTGTTATCATTTGTCTCTCACTCGGGATGTCAGATGGGTGAGATCCCCCTGATGCAACGTGCTGTTACAGGGCTGGGAGTGTCGTTCAACTGTTTACCGCTCGCTGAGAGGTACTGGTCCTCATAGTGACGTCACGCTATGTCAGACGTTCATGGAAGCCAAATGTCAGGTGTCTTCCAGGCCACAGTGACCTCCCCCTTTAGTTGGACACCATCAACAGGAATTATGATCGATTCCTGATGCTTATAATAACCTTTAACTTGGAGGCTTCCAATTCATTTAACCACGTGGGTGTTGGCAGGGTCCTGAAGTCCTAGATACAGAATCCCTCATCTCAGGGACTTACTCAAACATTGAGTGGCTTTTAGCCACTTAGAAATTATCAACACAGAAAGTTCAAAGTGTTAGAAGGTGAAGTGAAGGACACTTGTTGGGGGAGGTGAACTTTTTGTGTAATTATTTTTATCCCAACAGTAATCATTATATTTTCAACGTTAGAAAAAGGGAAGAAGGGAGAATTCTTCATAGATTTGAGGGTACAGGGCTGTGCTGATGTCTATAGGGTCCCCGACTGTGCTGCCCGAAGGGAGCAATCAGGGTGACATTTACGTCTTGTTTAAAGGACAGTGACAGACAAGCAGGAGAAGATGTCCTCACTAAGATAAATCATAAAATCCTGATGTCAAAAGGAAGCTGATAGGTCGTGTCATCTGGTCCCCAGACAGAACAAAATGAGTGTCTGCTCATCCTAGATGGATACAACTTCACCTTGCATTCTCAAAGAATAGAACTTCTCGGGGCCGCCCCGTGGCACAGCGGTTAAGTGCTCATGTTCTGCTGTGGCGGCCCGGGCAGCCGTTCGCCGGTTCGGATCCCAGGCGCGCACCAATGCACCGCTTGTCAGGCCATGTTGTGGTAGGGTCCCATATAAAGTGGAGGAAGATGGGCACGGATGTCAGCTCAGGGCCAGTCTTCCTCAGCAAAAAGAGGAGGATTGACAACGGATGTTAGCTCAGGGCTGATCTTCCTCACACACACAAAAAAGAATAGAATTTCTCCCTCAAAAGGACGACAGGCACACAGTCCTTCCCTGTGCTCAGAGTTTCTGGCGTCCAAAACAGGGCGGGTTAGGGAAAGGAGCTGGAGCTCTGAGTCAGGAAACATTCCTGGAGGAAGTGGTTACCCCTGTGAAAAATCGTTGCTATTTGGGCAAGCAGAAATGGGGGAGGAGGCACCCCCAGTAGGAGAATTGAAAATGAGGCTGATGAGGCAGTTTGATAGAACAAAAGGTCTAAAATCTGAATTAGGACCAGGAGGCAGAAGTGTGCCCAGGTGAGTTTTAGAGAAAGTATTTTCAGTAATCCAGGATTAAGATAATGAGGCTCTTTCATGGGTGATGGAGGCAAAAACGCGTGTGCATTACAAACCAGTAACGAGTCAGGACAGTGGACGGACATCGTCCCCTCTCTCCCGGGACTGGATAGAGCGGGGACAGTGAGGGCTCCTGCTCACTGAGTGATTTCTAGGTGTCCTGCAGCACTGTATGTGGGTCGGCAGATGGACCCTCGCAGCGGCTCCCTGAAGCGGGTATCCCCGAGAAGCCTGGGGGTCTCCTCTGTGCAGATGAGAAGGTCATCCACATCTCTCAGTGTATTGGATTCCCGAATCTGCGTCTCTGTGCTTCTCACTCAGGACGCCGTTTCTGAGAAATGACCTCACTGGCTTTTCCTCTCTCCCGCCCCAGGTAGTGACCGAGAATCTGTCCCTGATTTCTTGGTTTTCTAGACTCATGAGGTGGAGAGGAAGGAGGATATACTTTGGAATGAGTCAGACAGATTCAATTTCTGGCCTGACCAGGTTCTCTCTCCATGAACTTTGATAAAATGTTTCTCCAGAACACCATTACTTAATCTGTAAATTAAGGATTATATTATGTACACATCACAGTCATTATAAAAATTATATTACTTTAAATGCATACTCTATGCCAAGCTTTATGCATTTTGCACACATTATCTAACTTTTTAAATACATCTAAGATGCATTTGTTTTCTTTTTCCTTTCATTTCACTAATGAGAAAACTCGAGTTCAAAAGGGCTAAGTGACCTCTCCAAGGTCCCCTGGGGGTTAACCACCTGGTGTAATCCTACTCGAGAATGTCTACCCTGAAAGGCATGTTCTTTCTACTGAAACCTGAGACAAAACATGAAACAGCTCGAGAGGACCTGGAACCACCCAGGCAAACTCCAGACTCTCTGTAACCAGCGCTCTTCTCCACGGATCAGCCCTGCCTGTCTTCACTCCACCCTCCAGCTCTGGCTTTCTTGTTTCAGTAGTTCAGCTGAGGGCCCCTGGTGTGAGACAGTGGGGGGGCGTCCTCGGTGAGTCCCTGCTGGACACAAAACCATCAGAACCTTCTCAAGACCGGGTGTGTTTTCCTCCGACCCCTCTTCTCTGGGGGGAAAATAGAGTAAATTAATCACAAGAACTCAGGTCTCGTGAATATTTATTTTTAGTTATTCAGTGTCTAGAGAGGAATCTCAGCCCCCGTACTGCTGAGACTTACAGCCCGAAGCAGTGAGCATGTGGCTCAGGAAAGTCAACTGTTTTTAAATATATTGAAATCCTCATCCTTGTGTCTGATCAAGAAAGGAGCCCAATGCGTTTAAAACCTGATTTCATAACACACTAGGAATAAAAGGGAGTCAACTGGAGAGAAAACAATGATGTGCCCCCATCTACCAAACCTCAAGCATTTTATCTAATTATTACCGAATATGATGGTTGATTTATAAAGTATGTTCAGAGGAATTTCCATACCACTGACAATGTGATTATTGGGTCATTTATTTTAAATTGATGGCTGTTTGCACTGGTCCCACAGAAAATAGAAATGAAATAAAATCTATGTAGCTGGCCATTGTGTAGAAACTTCTGAGTGTCACCATCATCTGTGAAGATTCACTACGGTCAGTACTCGCTTGTTCCCAGACATCATCATCGTCCTGAGGAGCGATCTCTCCGACGTCAGCTGTGCTTATGAATGATCCTCCCAGGCCATCACCTGGAGATGGGGAAGTGTGAAAACATCAGACTCCGCACTGCGTCAGGGAGATGTGTTGAGACATTTGTCCTTCACACGGAGTGGGTGACGTGCCTGAGGAGCCAGCTGAGATGGTCGACCGAGGTCTCAGCTTCTCTCAGAACACTCCTGACTCGCTGCGTGGTGCCAGAGCTCCTCTTGGATGGAAACGGTACAACCAGGAGAAAAGACTTAAGGTTGCTCTTCAAGCCAAGATGTCTGCAAACCTCAGGTTCTTTTAGCCCTCAAAGCAGAGAAGACCAAGTCACAGTGAGTGAGAGGATGTGGATTCAGGACTCCTTCTCCTCTTCCATCATTCTAAGAGGCACCTCTGTGTTGCTCTAGAGAGTGAAGCTAAGTCTGGAAACAGAATATGAGGGGGAAAAGGCCAGAATGTTCTGACTACCAGAGCTATTTAAAAGTAGGATGTACTGGTCTGGGGAGTAGTGAGAAAATCAATGAAACTAAAAATTGATTCTATAAGATCAAAAAAATTAATAAAGTCTTGTTAGACTGATCAAGAAAAAAGAGAGAGGATACGAGTTTCCAATAGTAGGAACAAGAGAAGTAATGTCTGTACCAATTCTATAGATGCTAACAGGACAATAAGGGAATGTTATAAAAAACTTTTTAAAGCTGACACTAAATTTGACAACTTAAATGAAAGGGACAAATTCCTCGTAAGATACAAACTGCCAAAGCTCACTGAAGAAGAAATAAATAACCTGAATAGCACTAAATCTAATTTAAAAAATGAATTTATACTTAAAAATACCTTCCCACAAAGGAAACTCCAGTCCCAGATAGAGTCATTGGTGAACAGTACCGAATATTTAAAGAAAAAACAAACTAATTCTGTTAACTAATCCAGAAAGTTGAAGGTAGAGGACAGTTGCTTTCAAACTCCTGTGAGGCCTGTATTACCCTGATACCAAAATTGGACAAAGATATACAAACAAAAAAAAAATGAAACCACAGATCATTATCTTTTATGAACATAGATAAATATTCTAAACAAAATTTTATTACATAAAATCTGATAAATTTTTCTATAAGAGTAATGTATCATGCCAAATGAAGTTATCCTAGGAACATATGGTTGGTTCTCCATTTGAAATCGATCAG